AATCAGAATTATTATGTAAAATTAAAAAGAAAATGACATAAAACATCCACATTTTTTAAATGATAATTTTGACTTTTTATGTCATAATAATAATTTAATATTTCATCATTTTAACTTTTTCATAATTTCAACATAACTAACCCATAATTATGACTTAGTATCTCAATTTTGACTTAACTTAGTATCTCATAATTTTCACTTGTTCATAATATAAACTTTTTATCTCATAATTATGACCTATTATCTCATAATTTCTTATCTATGATTAACTTTTTATCTCACAAATATGACTTACAATTTTGACATTAACATGACATATATTTCATACTTCCACTCATAATTATGACTTAATGTCAATTTCTATTTTTATCGCATATTATGATTTAGTATGTAGTAATTTTGACTTTTTATCAGTTTTGACTTCATATCTTATAATTATGATTTGGTATGTCACCATTTTTATGCTATGATTTGGTATGTCACCATTTATGACTTAGTATCTCATAGTTTTGGACTTTGTATCTCATAATTATGACTTTTTAGGAATTTTATTATCATCATTATTAATTATTAAAAAGACACTGTTGATCATGATGGTTATAATGAAATTTGTACAATACAATAAGACAGGCCTACCTGGACATCCTTCCTCATCATGACCTCATCCTCAACCCCAAAATTATCATCATCATCATCATCACCATCACTTTTATTATCATCATTATTAATTATTAAAAAGACACTGTTGATCATGATGGTTATAATGAAATTTGTACAATACAATAAGACAGGCCTACCTGGACATCATCTTCCTCATCATGACCTCATCCTCAACCCCAAAATTATCATCATCATCATCATCATCACCACACTATCCTCAATATCAACATCACATCAAGATGATGCTTTTGATTACCCGTATGTGAAGTTGTTGATGATGATGATGATGATGATGAAGGTGGTGAGGTGAGGTGCTTTATATGGAGGGCGAGTCTCTCTGCAGACAGACTCAAATTTCAGCCGCATTAAAGGCAGAACTGCAGCTGCAGCCGCTCGTTTATCAAGCTTTACTGGACTGAATCTAATCTGAGCATGATGGAGCGATCCATCCACAACACACACACACACGCACACACGCTGACTGACCATCACGTCTCTGTTTCACATCAGCCGGGTTGCATTTACTCATCTAATGCTCTTTATTAACTCTGCTTATTCCATTAAGACCACAGTCATAATTATAGTGAAACTCTCCCACACAAAATCAACAGCACCAGAGGAAATATGCGGCCTCTACACGTGCTTTGCTTGTTTTGGGGTGGGACAATATGTACAAGGAGCAAAACAGAATCTAGAGATGCACTTCAAGCACAGACGGTTTGAAGCAAAACTGATGGTGCTATGATAAACGTATGAAGTGATTGTGAAAGAGAAAAGCGAGAAAGAAAGGGTGTGTCGCGCTACATGAAGCCAGTGCTGAAGAGTGAGCGCCCTCTTCTTGCCGTTCTCTGAAACTGCGTACAGACCAATATTTACCTTTTATTTGTTACTTTGCAAGGACAGATTATGTATAATATTCATGCACAGCTGTGCAAGACACTTGCAAAATAAAAAAATAAATAAAAACGCAAATAAAAAAAACAGAATCTAGAGATGCACTTCAAGCACAGACGGTTTGAAGCACAGCTGATGGTGCTATGATAAACGTATGAAGTGATTGTGAAAGAGAAAAGCGAGAAAGAAAGGGTGTGTCGCGCTTCATGAAGCCAGTCCTGAAGAGTGAGCGCCCTCTTCTGGCCGTTCTCTGAAACTGCGCACAGACCAATATTGACCTTTTATTTGTTACTTTGCAAGGACAGATGATGTATAATATTCATGCACAGCTGTTCAAGACACTTGCAAAATAAAAAAATAAATAAAAACGCAAATAAAAAAGGGCAGTCAATAAGCTCTTTCATTTTATTTTAATTTTATTATCTTATTTATGGCTACTTCTGTGTATTATTTCTTAAATTCCTAATAATTCACCTTCAAACCATCCTAAAATCCTAGTCAATATTTTCAAAATATTTTCAGAAATATTACTGACTGACATGTAAGTGACCCAAAGAAAATGCATAATTTTCAGGCACAGCAGTGAATATGCAAGACACATGCAAAAAACAGAGGAGCTCTTCCTTTTTACTTTATTCATTTATATTATATTTTATGTTATGTTTTATTTTTTTATTCATTTATTTTATTTTAATTTAATTTATATTATGTATTTGTATACATTTTTTATGGCTACTTCTGTGTAAGTATGATTTCTTAAATTCTGAATTATTTGCTCCCCAAACCATCCTAAAATCCTAGTCAATATATTTCAAAATATTTTTACAAAGTTATTGACTCAAATGTAAGTGACCCAAATGCATACAACATCTCCAATCGATTTTTCCTTAAAGGCATAGTTCACCCAAAAATTTACTTTCCGTCATACTTTACTTATGCTTATGTCATTCTAAATCTGTATGACTTACTTTCCTCTGTGGAACTCAAAAGCAGATGTCCAGAGCTCTGAAAAGATCAAAAAGTGTGATAAAAGTATAGAATATGGGCTATATTTTAGTCCTCCGAAGCTATTCAATAGCTTTGTGTGATGAAGACAAAAAAAAAAAGTTCTAATAATCATTTCAAACAACATGACGGTGAGTAAATGATAAATTTTCATTTTTAAGTGAATTATCCCTTTAAGCTGCTCCACGATGGCCACATACTTACAAAACTATACAAAACCACTCTTTAGATAATTACCTTCACTTATTTAATCAATGCCAGTTCAACAAACCATTAAGCAAAATCATTTCACATTAAACTTAACATCTGTATTAATTATTTTTGTGATTAATAGAATCAATATGACTGATTTCCTATGATTTCACAGGTTTATAAACCAACAGCATAATTAAAGAAATGGAAATTAATGCACTACTGAATATAAAATAATCATTTACTCACAGATGCTGACGCAGAGTCACTGACAGTATTATTCAGGCCGGAATATTGAATAAATGAAGCAGCAGCTCCTTAATTCATCACATAAACTTCAGAGCACACGAGTCGCACTCTCTCTCTCAGGCCTGAACACATGCTCAAATTTACATGAAAACCTTCCTGTCCTGGACTCCTGTTTCTCCAGCGGTGGATTAATGCATTGGTCACACACTCGTGCTCATAGCGGATGTCCAGAGGAGACAGACCCTGTGTGTGACCAAAGGGCCGTATAGAAAAAGGCTTCTGTAACACACACAGCCTAAGCAGAGCTTTAGGACTTTCCTTGCTCAGTCTCAAGGCTATGGATCAGTTTCCAACACCCTCTTTGCATCGACAATGGAAGGAAGTCATCGGATCAGATGAATCTGTGCCGGAAGAACAGCACCATCAGCAGGCTCACAGGCTCTTGGCAGAGACAGAATATGTGTGCTGTAATATTCATGTGCAGCTGTGAACAAGCAGCACGAGGAGAAACCAGAGTTAAATTATAGTAAAACTTATAGAGAGAAAAGTGGTATCATGCTTTGATATATATACACACATACCAGGGCACAATTTGATTACCATATATGCATTTCATGGTAATTAAATGTTACTGTAAGATAATTTTACAAGAATAACATTTTATTATCATTTTACCATACTACTTTGCCAATATGATTTTCCCTTGTTTTGGTTTTACAAATCCAAACCAATATCCAACTAACTAACTAACTAACCAACTAACTTTAACTAACCAATATTTACCTTTTATTTGTTACTTGACAAGGACAGATGCGTAATATTCACGCACAGCTGTGAACGTGGAAGACACATACAAAAAAGCAGACAACAAGCACTTTCTAACTAAAACTAATCAACATACTAAAACTAACTAACCTGCTTTATTTCTTAACTGTCTAACTAATCGGCTTTATTTCCTAACAACTAACTAAATAGCTAACTAACTAAAAAGCTAAACAACTAGCTTTATTTCCTAACTATCTAACTAACCTGCTTTATTTCTTAACTATATAACTAATCTGCTTTATTTCCTTACTAACAACTAGCTAACTAGCTTTATTTTTCAACTAACTAATCTGCATTATTTCCTAACTAACCAATTTGTTTCATTTCCTAACTAACAACTACTAGCTTACTAGCTTTTTTTCTTGATTAACTACTCTGCTTTATATCCTAACTAACAAATAACTTTATTTCTTAACTAACCAATCTGTTTTATTTCGTAACTATCAACTAACTAAATACTAGCTTACTAGCTTTATTTCTTTACTAACTACTCTGCTTTAGTTCCTAAGTAACTTTGTTTCTGAACTAATTGGTGGTGTGTTTCCCAAAAGCAACAATGGTCACAACAATGGTTGATTCCCTAACTAACTAACCAACCAACTAACTAATATGCTTTATTTCTTAACCAGCTAACTAACTAGCTGACTTTCTTCCGCTTCTCATTTCCTGACGAGTTTTGGGCTCCAGCAGGTCCAGCTGTGTTTCATTGTGTTGGAATGAGGAGGGTGAGGGACTCCAGTCCTAACAAACACACGTGCAAGCTTTTCACGGGTCAATACAACACTGCATGTCTTCCCGAAAGCATTACAGTTCTGAAAATAATAGACATAAACTGTATGGTAAATACAAACTGATTCATGGCGATTCTAGTTTGTTTGGTAAATCAACTGTTAAAGATTTAAGAAGAGATGTACATTGACTACTAATTGTTAGTTGGGCATAGTAAATTGATGCCAGATAGCTAGATAGTATAGTATAGTAGTAAAAATCATCAACTTGCTATGGCTACCTAACAATATATAACATAATAGACATAAATCACTGTCAAATAGTGATTTGAGAAAAGCCAGATAGGTTAGATATGACTCTCTCTCTCTCTCTCTCTCTTTCGTGTTTTGCATCTGTTTTCCCTCCAGCTCCTCATCACTTCATCAGTCTCTCATCCTCTCTGGACTCATCTGAGGACTCAGACTCTGCTGTACACTCCAGACTCTCTCTTCTAGTGACTAGCTATCACTGCAGGTAAGAGCTTTACTATTACTCTCCATAAACTAATGTTTTTGTAACAGTGGGAAAGACAGAACGCCCGTGTCTTGAACCTTTATCCAGGTTTGATATCAGATGCACAGTCTGTATAGAGTATATAACACTTTACAACAAGCTCCCATTTGTTAATGTTACTTAATACATTAGCTAAAATGAACTATCAATTAACAATACATGCTCTTTATCTTAGTTTATGTTGGTTAATAAAAATACTATTCTTTGTTATTTGTTCATGTGAGCTCACAGTGCATTAACTAAAGTTTCCAGATACAACTTTTGATTAAATAAAACATATTCGTGAATGTTGAAATTGACATTAATAACTGTTTTAATTGTTAGTTCATGTTAGCTAATGTTAACCAATGAAACCCTATTGTAAAGTATTACAAAGTAACATAAATCATCCATAATTATGTGCATATTCTTCCATGACTTACAAAAACCAGCATGTAGCCATTTTATTGTACTTTAAAAACAATGGCAATGACAAATGATCTTTTATCCAGTCAAAATGTATCTTCATATAAAAAGAATTGAATTGAAACTGTGAAAACACATAAACAGAAATTGCAAAAATGATATGCAAATGCAATAAAGCCTGATGCATTTGTGAAGCAATTTGTGCATGTTTTAAAGTCTGCATGCATTAATACTGTCAGGATGCCGCTGGGAGGAGGAAACAAGTGTGGCTGCTGTAAGAAGACGGTGTATTTCGCAGAGGAGGTTCAGTGTGAAGGACAAAGCTTCCACAAGTCCTGCTTTCTGTGCAGTAAGTCACACACACACACACACACACACACACAGCTGACACAGCTCATGCTCTGTATTCACATCACAATATGTGAACTAACGTGAGAGGTGGGAGCAGATGTTCAAGCTCAAGCGGGGAAATCTATTAGAGACAGACACATATGGATACACACATGTTCACCTGACACCTTCAGTGCTCTAATGGGGTATTTTAAGCAGAAAGGATGTGCATGTGAGCCTGAGATTCTCCTTGTGGAAATGGGTGGTGAGGGTTAGTCCTGCAGAGAGAGGGTGTTACCCGGAAAATGGAAAATTATTCATGCAGATGGTCATATATAGCATGGAAAATATAATATATTGTTTTTGGACAAAACTGTCAGCTGTGAATGTGATAGCATGATGCCAGCCCAGAGGAAATTCTTATTTTGTTATATAGTTTGTTCTTCTTTGGGCACAAATCTCCACAAATACTGCCAGTGGATCTCATTTATGATTTTTATTTTTTTGTCCTAAAAAAAGGCTTTTTTCCCCCAAAAAATTACATTTATTTAATTGCTTGCTTAACTGTACCAGTATATTTCTAGTATTATAGTTTTAATTATTTATTTTAACATTTTTCATAGGCTATTTCTTTTAAATTTTACACAAAGTTTTCAGAAAGTTCAGTCATTTTTGTTCATTTGTTCTTAAATATACCTATTTAGTTATTGTACTACATGAAGTTAAAAAGTTAAAAAATAATAAGTTTAAGTTTTGTGTCTTTTATTTATTTTATTCCAACAACATTTTTTTTCTTTTTTTGTATGGTTTTAGTTTTAGTTAACTGTAATAACCCTGAATTGTACACACAGATAATTAATAGTAGTTTGTGCTTATGAATGACTGACAAAGTGTTCTTTTATTATTGAGATACTAGTTTTTTATTAATATTTAGTTTTGTTTTTTTTTCATTTTTAGAGAAAGTTTTAGTAATTTTGTTGTATTGTCATTTTTGCTCTTCTTAAATATATTTATTGTGTTTTCATACATTTTGATTTCAGTTTTAGTTTTAGTTATTGTAATAAATCAAGTAATAACCGTTGGATCATTAGCAGTAGTTTGTGCTTCTGACCTAATGACGAAAGTCCTCGAGCGGGAAGCTGACATGAGTTTGGAAATGAGACTGAGCAGCAAGTAAATCTTTCCTGTTTAACAGCATGTCCATATTAGGTGTTGCACAAACGAACATCCCGGTGGATTCATCTGCCTTTTATGGCTGCACATCATCTGCATCTGACAGCAGATCTGTGGAACAAATGGATGTTTATGTGTAGATGACACTTGCAGACACACTTACATTGATGATGCACCAAATGCTCAAAGTTATTATGTCACCAAACAGTAGGGAGAGTGTATATGTTTAAAGTTGTGTTTTTAATACCTCCGTTTTTTTCCAGATGCTTCTCCAGAGAAAAGAGTTTCAGACGAGATCTCAACAGTCTCAAACTGTGCTCAGATTAGCAGGGACACAAATGTTTGCCTCAAAATTCAGATATCTCAATATGGACTCCATACATTTCTCCTCAAATTCACTGTTACTTATGACACGACCAAACTGAGATCCATTTTATAGCTCGTATACTCTTACTGTATCACCAGTAAGTTTGAATCAGTTATTGATTTTCAGGAGTCATGAACTGCATTTCTAATTTTATAATGTTTCTGTGAGAAGTTTGTAATATATGAAAAAGCAAGCATTTATTTTGCTCTGAAGTGCAACATTATCTACAAAGCAAACTGTCTAATGCATAACAGTGTGTTGATTATGCATGTGCATCTATGTTGACTGCAGTGGTGTGCAGAAAGAATCTGGACAGCACAACAGTCACTGTGCATCAGGACGAGATCTACTGCAAGTCCTGCTATGGCAAGAAATACGGCCCAAAAGGCTACGGCTTCGGTGGGGGAGCGGGAACCCTCAGCATGGACACGGGCGAAGCTCTGGGAATCAAACCGGCCGGGTTAGTAGGATGTTTTCATTTGCATTGTGTCTTTACCAGTGTGCATTAAAGTAGCCGGTTTGCATTTGTCTCACAGACAAGCATCTCATCGTGCAACCAACAACCCTAACCCGTCAAAGTCTGCGCAGAAGCTCGGCGGTTCGGACGCTTGCCCTCGCTGTGGAAGCGCCGTGTACGCGGCAGAGAAGGTGGTTGGAGGGGGAAACGTGAGTTCGTTTTTCTTGACTAGACTTGTGGAGATACTCTCACTTTGCCCCGGGCTTATCGCCTTACCAAACTGGTTAACCCAACTATGTATTCATTTAACTGATTGTTTTGGCTTGGCTGCCAAAATAGTCTCATCATCGACTACTACAAACAATGCAATGCAAACATAATAACACCGTGTCCTCACCTGCCCTCATATGAAAGCCAAGTGATGCTGCCAAATCACTGCCAATCCCAACATGTCTGATGTTTTATATACTGCCAAACAGCTTGACATGACAATAAAAACAAACTAAATGACCGTGACTAACGACATTTCGGGGCATCACTTTTCATCTCCTTTAGTCTTGGCATAAGAGCTGCTTCAGATGTGCAAAGTGTGGAAAGAGTCTGGAGTCCACAACTCTAGCAGATAAAGACGGAGAGATTTACTGTAAAGGTCAGTATCAAATATCATGCATACAGGTGTGTATGTTTATTCAGTATTAAGATATTCAGGATTTGTTCAGAAATAGGCAGAAATTTAAACAATAAAGAACATTTACATCTATATTCATAATAATATGTATTGATATTTATATCATTTAGATTTAGAATAACATTATTTATTTTAATATTATAATATTACTGTATATATGTTATTTATAATATTGATCTAATGAATATTTAAACTTATGTTGATAATAATGTTATTTATTTAATGTCTCTATATAATTTATATTCATAACAACATTTTAATATTATTTAAATGTAATATTATATTTTTATAGCATTTCTATTCTAACAGAATATTTACATTTCTATTGATAATACTGTTATTTATTTAATCTGTATTTATATTTATAATAACACTATTTTATTATTTATATTTAATATTATACTTAATATTCATAAAATTTATAATATTTACATTTAATATATATTGGTCAGGGAGCTGGTGCTCTGGCTCACGCTCAGTAGAAATACAGCTGACGTCGGTGAACCCAGAAGGACAGACTGGTCACTTTCATGAGAAATATATGTTTGATAAATGTTATGCACACACATATATATAAATGCCTAATTTGGTGTTCAGTTTATACTAAATCCAATAAACAGTTTTATTGTGAAATCCAAATATTATTATCAACTGACATTTTTCCAAATAATAAAACTGGGTTATTTTTACGTGTACTGGGATTTAGTATTTTTAATTTGAGTATTTTCTCTGACTGGGCTATATGCCGTGCATTATGCTATGATAACTAACAATGCAAGAATGCAATTATAATTTGAACAAATACGACTTAAACATTTTTTTGTAAACAGACGGTTGAATGCGCTCTCAGATGACTGGCTTGTTTTGTCCATGACATCACACACACATCAAAAACACAAGTGTGATGAGAACAAAGCGTGTTTATGTCTCTGAGCCTGTCACGGGCCTGATCGAATCACACCATCACAGAGAGCGCAACGCTTTCATCTAGAGACTAAAGACTGACAAACTCAGAATTAAACAATGAAAACGAATAAACAAAACTGGTCTGGAAACAGAAGGCTATTCCCACCATCATCAATGAAACATCTGCCAGAAGCAAAAACACAAGCTATGCTAAGAATTCAAGTTTATGCCAAGTGAATCAATAGAATATGCAGAAATACACATTACATAGCAATGAACATTTCAAATAGCAGTATGTTTTTGAGTCATGACCTCACTACTGTATGTTGTATGTTTAATTTAGTGAGTTTTTAATTTTTGAGCATTTAATACTACATTCATATATTATTTAATGTAAAAAAATGTCAACTTTTGGAAGTTTGATTTAATAATGAGTCAAAGAGATATGTTAAAATGAAATTGAGCTGAACTGAACATTAAACACAACCATTATGTCTCACTGAAGAAGTATAAAACTGCCACCAGATGGTGCCACATTTTATTCTACTAGTGAAAACACAATTTTACATTTCTGTGACATTGTGAATTCCAGGTGTTTTCAATTCACAAATAACAATTTGCATATTTTTCTTCGGTTAATGCAACTAAAAATTGTTCCACTCTCTACACACAGAAAGACTAGCCTGAGTCTGGCCTGTGTTTTTACAAGTGCTCAACAGTTTATAAAAAGCAGGTGATAATTGGCTGTCTGGAGGGTCTGAATTTTTAACAGTCCCAGAGTGAAGAATGATTCTATTAAACTACAGCAGAAGAGACTGGGGCTAGTTGTCACACAGGGAAGGTCTTCATGTCTGTAAAGATGTGATTTTGAGGAAAAAAGTCAAATTTCTTCAAGTGCAAAACTGATATATTTTGTCCTTTTAAACTAATATATATGTGTACACATTCATATTAAGTTGTCAAAAGTGTTTTATATGATACAATTCTATCATTTAAAATTTATTTCATATTTATTATATTATTTTATAAATATTAATTTCATAAATATATTATAAATATTGCACATATAATATTTGATATATTTCTATTGTAGATTTTATATTTTTATACAAATAACTACATTATTTGAAAATGAATAAAATTACTTAGCAGAAAGTCAGCTAAAAGGTCATTTATAACGAGTCTATAATACATACAAAATACATGTTTATTTTTTAAATTCCTTTTTCATATTTCTAAAAAGGTATTCTTCTCAAATAAACATCAATATCTTATACCCCATATAATGTGACAACATGCCTCACCATATAACATATACATATATATATATATATATATATATACATATACATATTTTTATTTATTTTTTATTTTTTTGCTGGTCTCCGTTAAATGAAAATGATCAATAATTTCTGTAGCCAATACTTTAAGGTTTTTGCGTATACAAAAACTGACAAATAAACCCACCCTGGAAAAAGTGTGACAACTGTCTTCATCACACATAAAAGACATGACAAAAAAATCCTCTATAGGCAAAAAAATAACACGAGCACATATTAAATGATGCTTAATCCTCTCACACCAATGTTCAATATCAACAGCGGCTCTAAATGCGGTACAATCACGACCGACATGCAGCATCTATAATCCTGGGTTTCCACATCAGCCAAGAACCAAATCCAGCAGAGCCCATCATGAGAGTAAACAGGACAGGTGTTACCCGCAGACTGACCCTTCTAGAGCTCTCTACAGCTAGCAATGTAGGAAGCCCTTTTGACACAATACCAGCATCTGAGTCATGTTACAATACCTGCATGATGGAAGATCTTATATTTTATGTCTCTCAGAATGCAGGTCCTGGAAATGATGCTCAAATCGACAAGCAGATAAGACACATCTACACACCCACACAAACACAATACAGCCAAGAAACAGCATTGTTTCGAATGCTTTCCGCAACCAGAGAGAGTTTGGTAACATGGTTACAGAGACAAAAACAAGCAAGAATGCAAATTCAGGGAATATTTTATCACTTATAATGGAAATCTATGTGGCAAGACACTCTATTTTGAAAGTACAAGGCCTGATAAAGCCGGTAATCTCTCTGACCTGGAAGGATGTTGTATAACTGCAAAGTACACCTGGAGAAAGCCAGCAAAACGCGCAGATAAAAGCATTGCATGCATGCATTTATCTCGAGACATCAAAATAGCTTTTAGTATCTCACAAACACCAGAGTGGCGTTAACAGCTGTCTAACTGCTCTATGTTTAGCTATGCCAACCTATGGGCAACTTTGAATTCCCGTCATAATCTCTCACAGAGATTATTGTTGTCTACAGTTAATATTTTAATCAGACGCAGGGTCAAACACAGAGCATGGTTCCACTGATACAGCAAATCAATGTGACAGAATAAAAAAATAACAATAATAATCTAAAAAAATCTCATCTCAAAAATTATGATAGGAAAGGCAAAACCCATGAAGTAAAGTTTATCCCTAAAGCAAATTGTTACTGAAAAAAACAGACTTAGGAGATAATCTTCATCTTATGCAAAACTCAAAGGAAGACTTTAATGCTCAGATGTTGCTCTTTTATAGCTTATGACTTCATTATAGACTTCATTTAATTCTCAATTTATTTTCATTACTTTCAGATGTTTCTTCTAAAATTCCAATGGAAAAACAAATGAGAACAGTCGTTATCATACAATAAGTTTGTGGCTATAAAAGTAATATAGATAGCAGATACTTTGATTTTAGGAGAATTTAATGAGATATGTTTCAAATATCTGCCATTTGACTGCAGACTTTGGATTCTTGGCCAGTTTGAGACATTGTTGAGATCTCTTCCAAAACATCCAGGGCTTTTTCTCAGGAGAAACATCCTAGAAGCAGCAGATTGAATGTGTTTAAAATGATTATATAGATGCAAAAATGATTATACAAAAGGCAAAACTGATACCCATGAAGTGAAGTTTATCCCTAAAGTCAACTATTCGATAGATTATGAAGGATAATGTTCATTTTCTGAGAAAGCCAAAGGAAGATTTTAATGCTCAAAGATTTCTTTTTTATAACTCATGATACTTATTTCTCAGTTATGCTTCATTTAAGTATCAACTTCCTTTTACAAATGAGATCAATATTTATTGCACAGTAAGTTTGGAGCTACACTGTAAAAAGTTTTTCAAAATGAATAAAACAAAGATTATTGAAGCATGTTTTACAGGAAATACTATTTCAGTCTTTTTATCTCAAAATGTAATGTTTAATACAGTGTACTACCTGTCATTTATTTGTAATTATTTATGAAATTTACAAATTTCTGAGTGAAAATTGTGTCGAATTTACTTTGTAATAATTTTCAGTTGCTAATAATTTAAATTTCACAAATAATAAATAAATAGCAAGTAACACGCTGAAGTAAAACATGAAACTTTTAATGTAGAAATACTGAAATAGTATTTTATTGTAAAACCTTTTTTTATTTACAAATTATCTGTACAGTGCAGAGGCTTTTTCTAAAGAGTAACATCTGAGAAACTTAATGTGCTTTAAATGATCTTATGAATTCAAAAAGGAAAGTTTTTCCTTCTTCCAGTAAAGCTCATCCCTAAAGCAAATCGTTACTGATATACAGACAGATAAAACCAAAGAAGACTTTGTTGAGATCTCTTCCAAAACCCATGGGTTACTAGAGGCTTTTTCTCAGGAGAAGACCTGCTCTCAATGCTGTCTCGGAGAAACAGTAGAGATATTAAGATACCTCATTGTGGACATGTTAAAAAGATCAATGGAAATTTCTTTAAATGAAACAGTTTTATCTTCTAGTAAGCTAAATTAGGTTGTGAGACAGGCTCGAAGCATCATGAGGAACCACAGTCCACAGCTGTCTAACGGGCTGATAAGTGCCGCACAAGGCCTATCAACAACAGCCCTCCACAAGTGCTGGATAAAAGCTTTATGTGTGTGTGTGCACGCTAATAATATCATCCAGTAACAGGCCGAGGATGAACAATAAGAGGGTGTCTTAAAAAAGAGAGGCATTGTTCTAGAGCATCACTTCTCTGCCCATCTGAGCACCGCAAGGTAAGTTCATTCAGTTTGCTTCCATGTTAAGGAAAGTTAGCCTGCATTGCATTTTTCTTCATTTCTAAGAAGAATAAACCAAAAAAAAAAAAAAAAAATCTGAATACTGCATGGACGTTTCCTTCTCAATATCTGTTAATATGGCCAAATGTGTAACCAAATATTCAATATTACTGTCATCAAATGTAATGGTTCAAGGAATTGTCATTGGAAAAACCCATATTGATGTCAATACATGTGGTGAATATTACTCTTTCCTTTCATTTTATGTTTATTTATTTACAAAAGTGCTTTATGATTTATAATCTTTCTCCGTCTCCCAAATCACTTTGATTTTATCTCTCAGATCATTTAATTAAAAAATAACCCCTTTATCAAGCTGATTCAAACATTTACTTTTGGCCTTCCAGTACTGAGCTGCATAAAACCTCAATTTAAATTGCAGAAACCCAAAGCATCATAAAAACATTACTTTGGAAACCACCTTTGGCGTTTGGTTAAATAAACCTATCCAGTTCCAGATTTATGATGATATGCTCTTTCATTTTATTGCGTAATTTACCGTATTTGTTTTTGTAAGTGCTCTAGACCGGTTGAACATCATCAAGCGGAAACTTGGGCTGGGTTAAAGCCTCGGAAACTCTGGTGCGGGTCTATTTATGGTGCATTGCAAGTGGATATGGGCTGGAGAAAGCTGGGATTGTTATCTGTGCAGCATAGTTACCATGCCAAAATCACCGCGCCATGACAGGCGTCTGCCAACACCTTTTTCCCAATGGGTCCACTTCATCTGTGTGCACGGCCACTGTCAGGATTTTGAAGTGGTTAACAGATGCAGAACAAACGCCAAATCAATCAATTAGCAGCAGTTCATTTATTTTAAAAAGCAACACCTGAACGGTCGACATATCATTACCGCAATGATTTCAAGAGTCGAATACGTGAGGCTGCTGCTGTTAGAGTAAACAGGTATAATGACATCTGATTAGCACGTATGAATCTGGAAAAGCTGTCTGATACTTGAGCCCCTTGAAGATCCTCCCAATGGTCCTGCCCTTTGGAAACAAACGCCTTTATTTTTATCTCCTAGGTTGAATCGCCATTGTAAAGATGCCCGAGTGAGTATATTGTGTCTCTGCTTTCTGTTGTTCGTCATCTTAGACGTCTTACGGCTCTCTCTCGACAAATGTGCTCTATTCTTGGATTTACCGGTTGTGTTGTCTTTACTCAAGGCCTTAGAATTAATGAAGGCTGATTAGGAGTCTGTGAATACAATGGAGCCCAAAAATCTGAGACCACACTGAAACTCTGAGAAACAAAATGATTTAAAAAAAGATTCTACACTATTTCTGGGTCACCTATTAATAATCAAATAAATAATTAATTAATTAAATAATTTGTTTTGCTTCTTGATTCTCAATTTATGCCAAATATCTTGGACAATCAGGTTTTGTTCATATCATCTTAAGCAATTAAAAAAAAAAAAAAAAAAAACAATTGTGTAGGATTTCCAATTTTCACTCAGAAACTGCTAGTAAATTTAACAAATAATATAAAGAAAATAAAGAAATGCAGTCACACATTGAATTTAACATAACATTTTTAAGTAGAAAGACTGAAATGGTAAAACATACTTAAATTAGACAAATAATTACATTTTCATTATTAATTTTATTATTACGTTCTTGTAAAACACTCCAATAATCTTTGATTTATTTGTAACTTTGAAAAATAATTTAGTGTATCAAATTATTTTCACTCCAATTCCTTTATTATAAAAATCACTATAATATTATTAAAAATTTATTAATTTGAGGAATGCTAAATAAAAGCATTTTCTCTTTGTGGTCTTAGACTTTTGGACATCAAACTAAAAGCTTTGTTATTAATAGGAATCATATTTTATGATCTAATTGTGTGTTTTTATTCTTTTGCAGGCAAGAGGTGAGAGTGACAAGCCATCACTGAATGCCACTTTTTCAATACTTTTTTTTCTGATCTACCAGCAAACTAATCTACTGTAACCATAACAAATAATATTTTGATGTGAGAATGATAGTATATGACAGCATAAATAATGTCTGCTCTATATAACCAATGCTTATTTGAAATTTGATAGAAAAAGTCCAAGATCTCTGCATCTCGCAAGCTGATGCTTAAGGTAAAACTGCATTGCAAAAATTTTAATCATTTTCTTAAAACAACATGGCTAGTGTTTCCTGTACAAAATGACACATTTGTAGAGTGTTTTATTAAAATTCTCTTTGTGGTCTTAGACTTTTGGACATCAAACTAAAAGCTTTGTTATTAATAGGAATCATATTTTATGATCTAATTGTGTGTTTTTATTCTTTTGCAGGCAAGAGGTGAGAGTGACAAGCCATCACTGAATGCCACTTTTTCAATACTTTTTTTTCTGATCTACCAACAAACTAATCTACTGTAACCATAACAAATAATATTTTGATGTGAGAATGATAGTATATGACAGCATAAATAATGTCTGCTCTATATAACCAATGCTTATTTGAAATTTGATAGAAAAAGTCCAAGATCTCTGCATCTCGCAAGCTGATGCTTAAGGTACAACTGCATTGCAAAAATTGTAATCATTTTCTTAAAACAACATGGCCAGTGTTTCCTGTACAAAATGACACATTTGTA